TAGAGTTATTAACATAATCTATAATTACCTAGTTTTTAAAATTTATTTACTTATTCATTGTCTGTCCCTCAGTATCAAGAACTTAAATTTAAAAGCAGACATCTTGCCTGTTTTAACCAACTCTGTAGTTCTAGGGCCTAGAACAGTGCCTGCTACATAGCAGCGGTTAATCTGTTGAATGAGTGAAAAAATAATCAATAGAAAATTACTGATTATATAATTCATAGTAGAAAATAACAAAGATGAATTATTCTAAGGCAATCCCTTGACATGAGTAAAATCATCTTCTACACCAAAAATAAACACATATTTGTCCATTGTTATGCCATATTATATTAATAATCTCCATGCATTCATCATCACTTGGCATTGAAATTGTCCCCACAGGCCACTCAAGGAATGGTTGCCGTTTTTCCACTAAAGCTTACTCTAGTCGAGCTTAATCACGTCCAAAATGAAAGTAGCATACTTCTATCTCAAATTTCCTTTTCTGTAACAAATATTATCTTCAGTCTCAGTAGGGTGCAGGTCAGAGAGAAGAGGCAGAAGGATGTGGGGAGACTCATCACCAAGTTACTCAAAACTGTTTCAATATCTAAGAGTCTTTCCCTCCATAGTCTAAGAAGCATTTGTCATCCAAAGCTACACAACAAATTTTGGCAGAATTAGTTGTAATCTTGTTGGCTTAGCATTTTCTCACTCCTTTCTGCTTCTCAAATTGCTGAAAGTCTTGTCTAGATCTGAAAATGACTCTAATAGAAGCTATGGCAGTATGACTGAAAGGCAAAGGAAGACACCATGAAAGGCAAAGGGGACTTGAAAGGTGGTCTTGCATTCAAGATTTTCTTACAACTTCTAGGTTTGAGCTTGGGCACACGTGGTCCTAAAGAATACAATGTGGTCAAGGATCATCAACCCTATTCATTGTGTCTTTCTCTTCTAAAGACTGGAAGTTGCCCTGGAAACCTCCCATCTACCTGCCCCTACTAAAAAAATACAAGGAAGATGGTGTCAAAAAAAGGATGACATAGAAGGAAGATAAACATTTATTGAATGTTAAATATATGCCTGGCAAATCCTGTACTCTTTTCTACTCTACTATAAATGTTTTTTTTATTCTTTTTTTTTCTTTAAATTGAGAGTTCACAGGGCCTGGTCCCATGGCCAAATGGTTAAGTTTGTGTGCTCCACTTCAGCAACCCAGGGTTCATTCGTTTGGATCCTGGGTTCAGAGGAACACACTGCTCGTCAGGCCACACTGTGGTGGCATCCCACACAGAAGAACTAGAGTGACTTACAACTAGATATACAACTATGTACTGGGGCTTTGGGGGAAAAAATAAAGAGGAAGATTGGCAACAGATGTTAGTTCAGGGGCAATCTCCCTCACCAAAAAAGCAAACAAAAAAAAAAGAAAAGAGTGGCCAGTTAGATAAATATTTATGTAAAACATCTCCAAATGTAACAACAGAAAAGAAATTAATACTGGGGAGGGAGTGGGGGAGAGAAACGAGCGAAAGTACTTCCTATGGCTTCTGGAATACTCTTTCACAAGAAGCTAAGTAAAATTCCCTGATACTTGTGAGAGATGTTATCTATCTTAAAATCTTTCTTTTAACAGTTTGAACAAACCAAGGTGAGCCTGGGTCAATTTCCTGAAATAGTTCCTTGTTTAGGTGAACTATTTTGTCACACGGAGTCATGACACAAACGAGTGTCACGGCACAACTGCAGTCCATATATAACAAAGGAGTGCCTAGAGGGTTCCCAAAATAAGAGCTGGATGCTTACGGGGAGGGCTCCTGTGCCCAAATTAAGCTTTGACCACTTGCGCATAACTAGCATACCAAAATGACTAACAAAACTAACAGGCACATCAAGCAATGGAGCTCTGTTACTGTGATAAGGACACATTGCCCAGGTGTCATCAGTCAAAATGAACTAGCTCCAAGAGAGAGAAAGCAGAGAGACAGCAAATTTTTAGAGGGTAGTTTCAGAGCATACCACACCTAAAGGAAGGACGGAATAAGAAAGGTCTCCTCAAGAAGTTCTCTTATTGGCTTCACCCTACCTAGAAATGCTTCCAGGTTTTTGTCACGTCTTCCCATGTGACTGCTTCCGGTCCCCCTCTACTTCTATGGGACTTCATTCGGCTAAATCACGTAGAACAGCTGTTGAATTATGAGTTACACTCACAGGGAAGATGCTGTCAAATATCCAAGGATACAGAAAGCACAAGCCACAAGGTAGGCTTGGCCGAGTCCTCAGTATCTACCATCCACTTACTTGTAATTCTAGGTGATTATCTCCTTAGTCCACTCCCTGCAACACTGAAGGGTTGGAAGCACTCTCGCTTTGCCCTCAGAGTCATCCCATTCTACTCTTAGAAGGCTCCAAAATAGAAGGAAGCTGAGTCTCCTTTGTTCCAATCCCTTTAGTAAACATCAGTCACATCCGAGCAAAGCCACACGCCAAGGCCAACCAGGAAATGAACAAGGAGGAAACAGTCTGTTCTCTTGCCACATCTCCCTATGTTGGAGTACTGTATTCACCAGCGGAAAAATCGTTTTTGAAGCTATGTTAAAACTGTATAAACTGGTCATCAAAAAAAAAAAAGTCACCTTGTTTTCAGCCAGGTGGCAGATTTCACACCAAAAGAATTATACCCAGTAGACATTCTTAGCAGCCCATCTATACCCACAATCATAAAGGAAAATTTCCAACAAATTCTCTGAACAAACGCTAGATGAAATCCTTCAACCAGCGACAACTCAAGCAAGCAAGTGTGTCACACATGGGTAATTTCACATCCACTGAGTCTTTTTTCATGACATTTTATTTTTTGAAAAGAGCAGATAATGTCTCAGTGAACCTTTTTATTTTAATTCTAGGTTTTTAAAAATAGATCCCACTCTTAAAGCTTTTTCCTGTGGTTTGAGGAACTGAACATATTTGCCCAGGCAGATTCAGAAGAGGATTATTAGAAGATCAACTTAAAAACAACTTGAAAGTTAACCATCAGGAGATGGGTAATGTGTAAGCAATGAAGGCAGTTTGATTTTTTTAAGACATTCTCACTGCAGAAATGTGAACATGATCCCCATATTTCCGTCCACCTTACTAAAACACTCGCTTATGCATTCATTCATTCATTCATTTATACCACAAATATTCACTGAATATCCACAAAGTGACCAAGAAAGTGAATCTCAAGCTATATTGAGCTGTGTTACTTAATTTGTTCTAAAACCTGTCTCGTTCACTGTTATGCTTGCCCTCTTAGAAGGCAAGTTTGGAAACCCCAAGCAAACTAAAACAATATCATTTTAAGACTTTCAAAAGGGGATCTTCTAAGCACCCCTGCAGGCTCGCGGAGAGCCTGAAGGGACCTATTTTAGGGCCAGACCTGTGAGCATTCTCTAAAATGCATTCCAGAACTCAGTGAGGTGAGAGGATGGCTTGTTCCACGGACACTGAAGGCTTCTTCTGAGATATCCTTCCTTCTACTCCTGACTCAGCTAAAGCTACTCCTGGAAATTTAGGATTTGAGTCTGATACAACCAAGAAACTGTTTGGAAGAAACGATGGTTTTAATATTTAATATTAAGAAATTAATAGCATTTCATAATGGAGCTACAGTGCCACCATTTTCTAAATGATATGTTTATCATAACTACAAAACTACAAAGAAACACATAAAAATTTTAAAACACTTCACCCATTTAATTCTCTAAGAGGTCAGAAAACACCTAAGTCCATATCAGTACTCCATTTATTTAAATTAGGGGTTGGCAAACTACCGCCAAATCCAAGTGGACCAAAACCAGCACACCACCTGTTTTAGCAGAGCCCACGAGTTTTTAAATTTCAAATAGTTGGGGAGAGAAAAATCAAAAGAAGGATACTACTTCCTGACACATTAAGGTTATGGGAAATTCAAATTTCAGGGTTTACAAGCGAAGTTTTCCTGGAACACAGGCATGCTCATTCATCTATAAAGTCTGTGTCAGATTTCCCACTAGGACAGTAGTTATAATGGCCTTCAAGCCTAAAATATTTACTATCTGGCTCTGTACAGAACATATTTGCTGACCTCTGGTTTAAATAATAAGATAAATGTCATCAAGTGAAGACATTTTGGAGCCCGCTAGGTTCCTCTACCCAAACACTGCCAAATCTTCCTGCCACCCAACCTTGGTTGGACCAGTAAGTCTGCCCAGCTCTACCCCAGAGAAGGTTCTCTCTTCTACGGGCAGCTGGGTGGAGGGGCCAAGACAGCAAAGAAGACAAGGTTGTCAGAAGGGAAATATTTAAAAAGAGCTAGAAAATGTAGAAAAGCAAATGTGTGTAGAGAAGAAATTTCTGGAGAATATCATCCATTGGGACCACATCATCCCCAATCCTCTCTATATAAAGGTTCAAAGCAAATGCCAGGACACAATGCCCTAAATGGCCTCCATCTCTTTGTACTACCTTCTCAGAAGCATGTGGCTTTGAGATAAATTGTAAAATCACTGTACACACAGCCTATATAGTGAATGAGTTGGCTATAGCAGTAGACAAAGTATAATTTACATATTTTATTCAGTAGAGAATCATTAATCAGTTCTAGTGAGTAAAATGAAGATTCATGTGTCTTGAGAAGTAGTAAGCAAATGAAACAAAAATAATTTCAAAAGCGAGAAAATTGCCTCGTGATGTGTTGTTTGATATTTTTAATTACCTATAAAATATGCCAGAATATGCATTAAAATATTACATTTTAACATTGTTTCCCAGTTGTTCAGGCATGGTAATGAAGAGTTTCCCCTCCGCTTGTCATTTGCTGTTAAACTTACAGAGAATGTTAGTGAGAGCAACAGAGAAAAAAGAAAAGAAAAGTGGTGGCTCACCAGGTCAACGAGGTTGTAGAAATTTTTAATCCATAAAATGCCTTGAAGTAGTATTTCAAATGACAGCATGCAACACCAATAAAGCCATTGCTCTGATGGGTTCTTAAAACATTTTCAAAATCACGGTCAATTTTCAATGATAATTTGTCAGCTTCTCCTAGTGTATCAGCTACATCATGAGAGCAACTTAATCACTTCTGAAGGTGGAAATACCCCTTTCACGACAGAGCCCCATTCAGGAAAATAATGACCACAGGGGCCTCAAGAAGTTAATTAAAGTTCTATTAACACTTTACAAATAGGTCCAGAAGCTGTATCTTAAAACGACAGCCAAGATGACTGTATATGGTGCCAACTTCCTCTCTAATTCACAGCTTTCATGATGAATCCCAGGGTTTTAAGAATATGGATAAAAATGAAAAATACTCTCAAACTATTCTCCCTAGGAGACTTCCCAGTCATTCTTACTGCTATGAGAAAACCTGTTGCTGACAGCACACTGTAAGTGTTCAAAGGAAAAGCAGTAAGTGGAAGTCTAATAAAAATGATAGAGGCTAGTGAAAATGGCCAGGGGCCTAATACCTGTGAAGGAATATGGCCCATGTGCAAGTCTCAATTCCTTCCCGCGCAAGTCCTGCCCTGGTCCTTTCCTCTTGTGCTCTGAGTAATGGAGGAGGAGGAAGGAAACGGGATGGACACCACTATTCGCTGCGCCTGATGCTCAGCCACTGGCCTGTGCCCCTTCGTGATTGCCCCCCAGGGATCTGGGGCTTCTCCGACCTCCTGCCTACCCACACACACCCCACCCAACAGGGGGCTTTCCAGAGGATAAACAAACAATGGCTGCCCAATGACACACAATAGCACTGCACTGTGCTTGGCCACATGTAAAAACATCTCATAACTGGGATTATGAGCAAACGCCAATAGAGACCCACGGGCAGGGACATCCGGAGGGTAAATAAGTTCCCATGTACTGAGATCATTATATCTCATTACACCTGATTTTTAAAATGCTGATTTGTTCATTATTTATGACAACAAATTTGATCAGAAACTGAGATGGACTCTCCCAGAATAAGCAGGGAGTTAAAATGCAGGAACGAAGAACGATATGGAAAGAGGAGTCATTAACTTCACTTTGGTGACAAGAGATTGACAGAAACAACAGGGGCCTTTGAGCACTATTGCTGTAAGCAAGTCAAGGTCTCATCTATTACTTGATTGAATAAGTAAAAATAATCAGATCCAACACTGAAATGTCACCTACTATGTGCTGGGCACTATTCTAAGCTATGCTATATTTATAGAACACATACATAAGCTATACTATGTTTATATAGTATATACATAAGCTATACTATATTTATGTATATGTAAATACATAAATATATTTATGTATTCAATCCTCAAAATAATGTATAAAATAGGTGCCATTATTATCTTTTAAAGATGGGTTAACTGAGGCACAAAGAGTTAAGTAACTTGTCCAAGGTAACATAGCTATTACCTTCCATTTACACTGCATTTTTCTATGTTTGGGCGGTACAGTCCATCTTTAATAACAAGTTTTAAGTTTCCTGTAAAATACTTTATCTAGTAAATGTTATCTCTCCAAACATCTATATTTCTTGACAAAATATTGAAAGCATTCATAAACTTGAATATAGCTTAATTAGTTTATAACGTCACCAACATCTCAAAATAAATTTGATCTTATATGCTCTTAGATTCCACTAATTTTATACCATACTATGAGATTCAAAACAGAATTAGCTTTTACTCTTAAAATATCATTAATGCATCATCTTGAATATGTTAATCAATAAAATGAATTCTGCAAGTAGGTAGGAAGGTAAACGCATGTTAATCACTTCAAATGTCTTAATTAACTCCTACTGCTAATGATACAACAATTAAGGTTTTAATATGTTGTAGAGGATACATCAGTTTTCTATTGGGTCATGCTGCTGAGCATCACTGAAATCCAATGAAATGTGGAGCTTTAGACCCAAATTCTCAAAGAATTCTAATCTCAATGAGAAAAACAAGTAAAACTCAGGTTTTAGACTCATTGCATCATGTTTCTCTCACACACACCAGATTCCTGCTTAGCTGCTCCCTTCTCCACTCTGTCCCCATGTCCCTTTGAACATCAGGAGGTACAATCTGGTAATAATCACTTACGAAAGTGCTGGAGCGTATGCACCAAGCACCACTGATGGAATCAACCTCACATACATTTTTTTAACCTTGTTTCTGAGCCCTGGGATGGAAGTTACGGTGGTGCCTGCTAACCAAGAACCAAATGCAGAGACCAGGGTAGGGAGATAGAGCCATTTTAGAAGATATCTCCTGCAGTAAAGATGACCACTCTCTTTAAAAGAAAGGAAGACTCCAGACGTGGAGTCTATTTTTCCTTCTCTTGAATCTGGGTTGCTCCTGTGACTTGTTTTAATCAAGAGAATGTAGCAGATACGAAACTGTGTGACTTCCAAGATTGGGCCTTAAAAGATCTGTCACTTCAGCTTTCATGCTCTTGGAACCCAACCATCATATTGTGAGATGTCCAAGTTGTGTGGAAAGAGAACTGAGGCACCAGGTGACAGCCAAAAGTGAGCTTCCAGACAACAGCCAGCACCAAGATCAAGTCGAATGAATGAGTCATCTTGGATATTCCAATCCAGTCAAATCTCTGGATGATCACAGTACCAGACTGCCACCACATGTGGAGAAGACCCTCCCAGTTGACCTCAATCAACTGAGACTCTTAAGAGATAATAAATGATAGTTGTTGTTTAAACCACTAAGTATTTGAGGTGGTTTGTCATGCAGTGATGGACAGTCAAAGCCTTTCTAGACCATCTAAGGGACCTGGGCAGAAACCAGTTCTTGCTTGACTCAGCATTACACAGTATAAGTCATGATAGACCCAGAAACTTGGGGTGACTATCATGGAGTTAAGAAGAACAGTTTCTGGGCCGGCCCTGTTGTCAAGTGGTTAAGTTCGCATGCTCCACTTAGGTGGCCCAGGGTTTCGCCGGTTCAGATCCTGGGCGCGAACCTAGCACCACTCATGAAGCCATGTTGAGGCAGCATCCCACATAGCAGAGCCAGAAGGAGCTACAACTAGAATATACAACTATGTACTGGGGGTCTTTTGGGAGAAGAAGAAAAAAAAAAACAGAAGATTGGCAACACAGATGTTGACTCAGGTGCCAATCCTTAAAAAAAACTTTTAAAAAAAGAACACTTTCCAATATGGGGCACAGGGGCTAAGACCATGGACCTCGGAGCCAGACCAACTAACTCTGAATCCTGCCTTTGCTTTTTACTAGATATGTGCCTAATACAAGTTACTTAACTTTTCTGTGCCTCAGTTTCCCTTTGTGTAAAACAGAGATAATAATATTCTCTACCTCATAAGTTTGTTATGAAAACTAAATATCAGTATCAGTATACGTAAAGCACTTAGAACAGTGCCTGGCACAGAGTAAGTGTTCAGTAAATGTTCTCTTAATATCATTATTTATTCTCTATTCTGTTCTATATCCAAGGAACCCCCCCATTCATGGCTATGGGAAGGCTCTATACTTAGGACAGAGGGATATGGAAAGTGAAGGGGAGGGCCATAACAGGCTTCCAATTTGATCCTGTACCATGAGGAAATGGATCTCTACCACGCCATAGGGCGTGAATGTGATAGATGCTAAATCTACTTGGCCTCACATCAGCAAGGGAGAAAACCAAAACTCAGAGTTAATGCTCAGTTTGAGGGTCAGCCATAACAGAAACGTCAGACAATCAGTCAAACTTTATCTGAGAATAAACTACCCCCAAGTATAAGAATCCACACTTTGGGAACCCTATATCTGATTTCTGTTCATTAAGAGTACTGAGTTTTACATGTATATAACATAGTCCTAAAAGTTCTTTTCTTGGGCTATCATCATCACACTCATATCAACTTTGTTTCTAGATACTATTTTCTAATTCACTGCTACAAACAGATCTGATTATAGATCATGATAATATTTGCATGATGTTGTCATAAAATTATTCCTAAATGTATTAGTAATACTCAGTAAATTTGGGGGTTTTGGTTGTTTTTTGTTTTGTTTTGATTTTTTTGGTCATATCATATACACATTTTGGGGAAATGCTTTAGTTAAAATAATTATTGAATTTTTTTAATGAAGCAAAACACAGTGGTAATCAATTCATTATGCTATAGGAACAGAATTAGTAAAGTGTATTTTTTGCCCCAGCCCTTTGTCTCTTCTTTATTTTAAAATTATATCAAGGACCTACTTCTATTTACTTCAGAAGTAATCATCCCAAATAAATTGATATGTAATAGCCATAAGGTAAAATTTTTTAAATATTTGGCATTTTATTTGAGCTCTTGAACATTCGATCATAGCACTTCTCATAGGACTTTTGACTGAAGCCCCAAAGCTCTCCATTTCTCATATCCACATATTTCTATTCATAAAATTATTGTAGATTCAATTATACTACTCATATCCTGGTCTTTAGACATGGTGCCATTTGTTTTTTAAGACAACTATAATGGATTCATAAACTGATACACAAGTAGCTCAATCAGTTAGAGGTTCTGGGAAAATGTGTCAGGTGTCTGCCTATCACTCATCTACATTAGTTCTTCTTCTTTCCAAATTATTTATAAGCCTTAGGTCAGCTTGAGAAAATTCCTATTTTCATCTCATCCTTGCTAATCATGCCTTAAATGGCGAGTATCAGAGATGCAAATTAATTGTAAACTATATGAAGGAGGCGGAAATTAAAAACTATGAAATTTGAATTATTAATGCAGTAGTAATTTACCTTCCAGGTTCCTTCTGCAAACACTAACAATTTCACCTATTTTATATGGCTCAATGCAAACTAAATTTGGTAATTTAAATAGAAACAGGGAATACCAGATTTTATTACTTTTTTCCCCTGCGACCTTTCCAATTCCCTCTTCCTTTTCTTTCCATTACCTCTTCTGTCTCTGTGTTTTGAACCCTACTCTCTGATACCTGCTTAACTTCAGCCCCATGTCACCACCAGGTTTCATCAATTACACACTATTCTGCCTTAGATGTCATTCTTAATAGTTTGTATTTTACACTACACCAGTCTATTTAAAGAACTGAATCAATTCCACCATGAAAAAAAAACCAAAGCCAATTTTTCCAGGGGCATTTGTAGGGTAGGATTGCGTCATTATGTGACTATACACAAAAAGTTTAAGAATATATGCAGTTTCAGTAGTATTATTGAGAGTAACTGTTGGGAATACTTCTGCATCCACTATGTAGTTGAACACAGCAAAGAATGAAACTAGCTAAAATTCAACTGTGAAAAAATCTCATATGAAAAAGAAAGCCTGGTTAAATGAAAAGTGTGTTCAGATTAGAACTAATAGATTCAACTAAAGTTTCCAGACTAGTAAAATTTTGCTTTATGTGCACCTGTTTCCCATAAATGGAGCCCATCCAGGGCTTCAATGCTTAAATTAAGAAAATATTACTAAAATAAACTGTGTAACATTTCTAATTCACAATATTGATTTAATTGGAGTATAAACCATTTACCAACTTGCCCTTTTAGAAACAAAGAAGGGCATAATCTCATTAATAAACAACAAATTAATAAAAGAAACCATTTGAATAAAATGTCTTGAGTTTCTCAGATAAAAATGCCACAGATTTCTCAAAGCACATCTCTACAAATTCTAAATCTTGGTTTTACTGTGATTTGCATAAAATGTTTTTAAGTAGTATATGTAAATATCCTTAGTAATAACTTAACTCAAGTGCACTCATGTTTAGCAAAATGATTTCAGGGGAAAAAAATGTCACACATATGTACCTGGCAAGGTTGTTTCATTTTAATGGCTATGACATGGTATCTGTAACAGCAGAGTTCGCAGGTCCAGGAACCCCTCTCACTGATCCACTTTAGCAGGCAGAGCTGATGTGTATAACGAACAGACCCGTCACATCGGCAGGGGTTTAACAGTTCCCCCTGAAAGGAAAACGGCTCAGAATGAATAGTTATGCTCGTGCCTCTATTTTAAAAATCTAACACCCGCTTTCTTTTCTTTCACAGCCATTTACCCAGAAGGATACAAGCATCAAATTCTATCCTAGAAAATGAAATTAAATTTTTATACTTCTGATGGGAATGAAACTAAAGTCTTAAAACTATTTCAAAGATATTGCTTAGAGTTATGACATAAATGTTCTACCAACATACAAAACGTCTGCAAGATATAGCTCCCAATACCCTTGGGGAAAAGCTGTACTATTAAATCTCTTTAATAACTTTTAAGTGGATGGTCAGATGCATTTCCTCTGCAGTTATTCTTAATCATTGCTGAAGACGAAATGCATGGCATCCCAGAAAGTAGCTTGCAATAGCATTATGCTTTTATTTTTTTCTAAATGTAGCATCATAAATATTGACTTAGGGCACTATATTCCTGAAAGCCTGCATATTCTTACGCAATTTCCTTACTTTTAAAAATATTAAGCCTAATGTTTTCTCAGACCACACATTTTGTAAGACAGATCTATTATCCTGTTGTCTCCATGATCATTACTCTCATAGAAGTTTGCATTCACCTCTAATGTAGTTTATAACTTTAAAATTGTCTTTCTAACTAAATATAAAGTACACTGTCGGCTGAATAGCCTTTCTTTCACAAGGTGAAAGTACATTCCTATTTCTCTTGTAAAAAACTGTAACACTTTTCACATCAATGAGATGAAGTCACCGAAATTTGCAATAAGGAAAGATCCGGCCCTTTTTGGTTTTGACATGACTCACCCCCAGTTTCTAGGACTGTGTCAGGATACATTTGTAGAAAAAGGAACATAGCTTTGTTCCTACGTATAAACCAAAATCCATTTAGGAATTCACAAAAGAGATATTTATGGCATTATCATTAAAGCACCTGAGGAATGTGTAACCGCAGGACCAGCTAGGAAAAAAGAGTGCAGAGCAAATTAAACCCTGTATTCACCACCGGGACATTTTTATCTGCCTTCACAGAAGGGGAAAGCGAACACACATTGGCCGCCGCTCAGCTGGCTGGACCGGACGTGCCCGGCAGGAGAGGAACCAGGAGGCGAGCGCTGTCCGTGGTGCTGAAAGGTCGGTCGTCGCAGACAAGACGGCCCAGTCCCGACCCGAGCCCACCCCAGCTGCCCCGGGGTCCCGCCGGGCCTCACCTGCTCGGCGCCCTGAAAGCAGATCTTGCAGATGGGCTGGTGGTGCTGGTGCTGGTGCCCGGCGCGCTGGTCGCCGCCGCCGCTGCTGCTGCTGCGGCTGCTACACACTGAGCGCGTCTCGGGCTGGTCGCCGGCGCCCCGCTGCTCGCCCTCCCCGCCCGCGCCGGCCTCGGACTCCCCGGGGCCGCCTTTCCCCGCCGCCGCCTCAGGGACCGCCGCCTCGGGAAGGTGCCTCGGACCTTCCCCGGAGTCGCCGGCCGCCGACACCTCCTGGCCGCCGGACGGCAGGGGCGGCGGCGGCGGCGGCAGCTCGTCCGCGCCCCTGCGCCGCGGGACCACCTCAGTCGGCGGCTCCTCGAGCCCCGCGGCGCGCTCAGGGGATGCGGGCGGCGCGGGCAGCGGCGGCAGGTAGCGCGGAGGCGCGGGGACCGAGGCCGGCTCTCCCGGCGGCGGCGGCGGCGGCGGGGGAGGCGACGGGGGCGGCTCGGCGTCCCTGCTCTCCGCCCCGCGGCGCCGGCTGCCGCTGTGGCCGCCCTCAAAGCTCATGGTGGTGCCGCCGCCGCCCTCCTGCCAGCCCGGCTGGCGGGCCGGGCTCGGGCTGCAGCCGAAGGGAGAAGGGAGGGGGAGGGAGGGGAGAGGGAGGGATGGAAGGAGGGAGGGAGGGGGGACCTGGGTGCCTGGGGCTGGGGGGCGGGACGGGGAGGGGACGCGGAGGGCCCGGCGGCGGCGGCAGAAGCGGCTGCTCCGCGGAGCCGCCGGCTCGGCTCTGATGGAGGCGGCGCGGAATTCGGCTGCGCGTGAGAGCCGCGCCGCGGGGCGCGGGGGGCGGGGGAGGAGCGGCGCAGCGGAGGGGTAGGCGGGTGGCTGGGGTCTACCGGGGGAACCGGCGCGGGGCGGAGGGGGAGGGGCGGAGGGGGCGTTCTGGGGGAGGGGGGATGTGGAGGGGGCAGGTGCGAGCCCCGGGCGAGGTGCGGAGACCACGGGCGGGAATTCGGGGGTGGAGGGGGGAGAGCCCTCAGCCGCCTCCACCGACTCCGACCCCGCCCCGGGGCCGCTCACGTCTGTTCCGGGGCGGATTACCCCTCTCCAAACGGCGCGCACTGCGGCTCTCGTGAGCGAGGGGGGAGGGGTCGAAGGCCGCGGGTCCAGAAACCGTTGCTGGGTGGGCAAGTGCGATTCGGCGGCGCCAGGCTGGGTGGGACCGGGATGGTCGTCCTGGAGACCCGCGTGGGAGTAAGGGCGTGGGGGCTGGTGCCCTGGGCGCGCCTGAGTCCACTGAACAGGGGCGCGGGAAAGGGCGCACGGGCCCCGAGGACTGTAACTGCCGCTGCCTGGCGATCGCTCCCAGCCCCCAGAGCCCGCTCCCTCAAGGGCACACTCTGGTGATCCACCAGAGCCCTAAAAACAGAAGTCTCTGGAACCTATGTCCTCCCTCTGTCTTCCTCACCCCCGTTCCTCCTGCAGTGAGTATCCTGGTTTATTTGTAAATATCTTGGGTCGTCTCCTGGAGTAATTCTTCCTAGTGAACGCTGGTGCCAACGTTCTGTGGCGAGTGGTCACTTTCATCCTTCCCTTACAAAAGACTCAAATGACACCCCTCTTTCTCCCGGAGAAGTAGCCGAAACCTGGAGTCTCGGTTTTCCGCACCCTGAAGGCGGTTTCTCTATCACTTTACTCCGCAAAACCTCTCTGGGACTCCTCTTCCGGCAGGACAACAGTCTCCTCAGTCCTTTTCTGAAAATAAACCACCTTACCTGCAGGGAACTAGACGGAAAACCGTGCACATGCAGTAGTTTCCCAATTTCTACGGTGTAATCTAATAAAGCATTGGATTTTTATATTCTGCAATGTGTCTATCCAAATCAGTGGTGATTTTCCCTAGTGTAACACTTTAACATCTTTGACACAACCGACTTTCTCTCAGGGTAGTCATTTTGAGCTGCATTTCATAGCTGAAGACCAAGGATCAGATAAGCAAAGTAACTTGTTCAAGGTCACAGGACTATTAACAAAGAACTTTTGAGTTCCGTGTCTCCAGATTTTGCAGCTCAAACACCGAATGATTTTTTTCCAAACCTCCCTCCTGCTTCCTAAATCGGTATTGTAGTACATAGCGTGTCTGGTGGCGCTGACTGACATTAATAGTTAGATGTTGGGAAATGGTTGAGATAAACTACCAGCTTAAATTAATTTTTCCCTTATAAATTTTGGCAGTAAGTAGTATATTTGGTTTACAAAAAAAAATGTCCCAGCTCTTTTGACAGAAATTGGTTTGGTTGGAAGGCAGAGAAAGAAGGTAGAAAGAATTCAAGAATGCTTTGTCACAAATGGTCCCAGATGAAATAGTTCCCAGGAATGTCCTCTAACACTTAACCCCCTCAGACTAGCTTATTTTTGGCAGCAGAGTGGCAGGCAGCAAGCACATTTTTTAAATAATAATCCCTGAATGCCTAGGAACTTATCACACTGAAGAAATATGGTTGTAGAAATGCTTTAATTTTCAGTCTTCACCTGTCAAGATGACATGGCACAAGTTTATATATTGCCACAGTCTTAAGATCTTCATAAGCCTTGATCCTAAATTCTTGAATTAAAAGCTGTCTAAATTGGTTTTAAAAAAAATCCCCTAAATAATTCAATGTACAACTAGTAAATTTCTACTAGGTGTGATAAAGTACATTACTATTTGAAGGACAACATAAAAGCTATGGATTCTGTGTAAACAATGCAGAATGACTCAGAGAGCAGAGTAGCATGGATAAAGAGGAAATGGCCACAATGCTGGATGTGTCCTCTCAGTTGGTCGTTTCTGAAAAATAACTCCAGTAAGAGAAAATTAACTTTGATATGGTGAGTAGCCACATAAAAACATTATTTCCCAGCTTCGATGATGACCTCCAAACTGACCTCGCTGTGAAAAAAAGGAAATTTGCTCATGATCTTTAGTTAACTCAGTGAGTCTTCAATGGATCAAGGAAAAATCTTTGTAAGTTTGACTGCATCCTCTGACATAAAAAACAGAACAATGGGGGACATTCTCAGCTGCTGGCACCCAAGTGGAAGAGATGATAGAGACACAGACATCAGATAAAGAACATCAGGGCACCCGCAGCCACTGACAGCCAGCCAACAGCTGATGTACAGCCACCAACTGAAAAATGAATGAGGGGAGAGGCAATTCTATCAGTTTGAGCAAATACTGAAAGGCATAGCTAACCTGCTTCAACCTATATAAAAGAGGAGAAAGACATAAATAATACAAGTGCTTGAAAAGTCTCCATTCTCATGTCTCCCTTTTCTCCTGCACACACACAGGAAAACGTACCCTTCACCAGAAGAGGTCTTTCATTATGAAAGCACCAACTCTGGATACCAGGAATTTCTTGAGTTAAATCCAACGATGGGGAAGCGGTAGGGGGGACCCAAGCAAATATGTCCCCCAAAATTCTTTGGTGATATTAATAGATGTCATAGGATATTCTCCTTGAACTTCCCTGGTGACCACATCCTGGAGCCATCCCCTAGAGTTCCCTCAGGTATGTCAGATAAAAAACAATCCAGGGGGCCAGACCCACGGCCAAGTGGTTAAGTTCACCTGCTCTGCTTTGGCAGTCCAGGGTTTCACCAGTTCAGATCCTGGGCGTGGACATGGCACTACTCATTAGGCCATGTTGAGGCAGCATCCCACATGCCACAACTAGAAGGACCCACAACTAATGATATACCACTATGTTCTGGGGGGATTGGGGGAGAGAAAGCAGAAAGAAAAAAAAAAGAAGATTGGAAACAGTTGTTAGCTAGGGTGCCAATCAAAAAAAAAAAAAAAAAAAACCAACAATCCAGGCTACACTAGGTCTCAGAATGACTTTGAACCTAGATTAAGTATAATGACCTTGATATGCCCTCCAATAGGAGGGTTAACAGTAAAGAGTTAGCCCGGAGAGCTCTTTAGAATTGCTTATCAGTTCTCTTAAGTATAGCTTAAAATACTTAAGTATATACATAAAATTCTTGGAAGTATAGCTCTTCTCTAAGAATGTTCCAAAATTGTTCAGTTGACACCTTTGGGGTGCACTAATTTTTCTCTGTGGTCACTGAGTACACAATACACAGAATTCTCATTTGCTTCAAATATCTGAGAGAGAAGAAATTAACTATGTTATAGACCAACAAGGTTATGTTGTGTGTGTGGGAGGGTGATTTTTAAAGAGGATAGTGAGGTGCAGTCTGTGTACTTTGAGTACTTGATGCAGAGTGTATCTTTGCTGTACCCCAGAACTAAAGCAGTGTCAGCACCATGCAGCACAATGCCGTGTGCAGAGCAGTCCACAATTTATATCCCTGTTCTAACCTCTCCGCTGAACTCCAGACTCATGTATCAAATTGTCTTTGACTGCTCTACTTAAATACCTAAAAGCCATTTCAAACTCACCCAGTCCAAAAGTAAACATCCCCCCAAACCTGCTCGCTTTCCCATATTCATTATGCCAGTAAACCACTTGTTCAGTCACCCAGTTGCTTAAACCAAAATCCTTGGAATCGTCCTTGACTGAGTTTTCACATCATACATTCAGCGTATCAAAAAATTCTGTCAGGGGCCTGGCCTCGTGGCGTAGAGGTTAAGTTCGGCATGCTCTGCTTTAGCGGCCCAGGTCCACAGGTTTGGATCCCGGGTGTGGACCTACACCACTCATCAGCCATGCTGTGGCAGGTGACCCACATATAAAGGGTAGGAAGATTAGCACAGATGTTAGCTCAGGGCTAGTCTTCCTCAAGCAAAAGACAAGGAGATTGGCAGCAGATGTTAGCCCAAGGCAAATCTTCCCCAGCAAGAAAAAACTTTTTCAGGTGTACTTTCAAAATATACTGCAAATCTCACTACTTTTCATCTCCACATCCACCTTCTCAATTCAAACTACCATCAAGGTTGACCAGGACTATTAAACTAGCCTCCTGTCACTTTGTTTCTTACTCTGAATCCATCCCCTGTAGCAGCGAGGATGATCCTATTCAAATATAAGTCCAATCATATCATCCCTCTGCTCAATACCCACCAATAGCTTCCTATCACACTTTGTGCAATATCAAAAATCTTAGCATGCCCTGCAAGTCTTCAATCTAGCTCCTGGCTATGTATCTGAAGACATCTCCATACCCTTCCCACCACCCCACCCCACTTCTGGTTATCCATTCCTACCACACTGAGCTCCTTGCTATTCCCCAAATACACTCCCTCTTCACTCTTCTTCCAGTTATGGCTCACTCTCTCACTTCACTCAGATGTCTGCTCAGAGGCACCTCATCAAAACGGCCTTCCTATCTGAAGTAGAATCCTCCACTCCCATTTTAACTCTAACCCTTGCCCAGGTTTACTCTTTTTCATATCGCTTTACTACTCAACATTATATGTTTACATTTTGTGTGTATTGTGTTCACTTCTTTTCTCATCTAACATCATCCACTGGAACATTGGCTCCATCTGAAACTGCTCTGTCTCCAGTGCCTAGAACAGTGCCTGGTCAGAGGAGTGCTCAGCCAGTACTTAGTGAACAAATATAGGAATCATTCAGGCAATCATGCAGACAATTATTAATCAGCCTCTGTGTTTAAGGCACTGTGCAGCTGGTTAAACCACAGTTCCCAGGTGGGAATGCCATCTGTAGGACAACGAAGGATGCAGGCACTGCATGTGATGCAAAATATTTTTTTCATTGCTTAACCAAATTAACTAAAATTATTCTGTTCTCTTAGCAATTTGTAGTTGCTGCCTAATTAGTCATTTGCTACTATGTATAAGTGAAGTAAAAGTCTTGGTTGACCTTGATCTCACATTCACTGAAGACATCAGAAATTGGAAGATGCATGCCACTGGTCCGCAGGGAAAGTGATGTGGATGGATGGTCTCCATGTCTGATCAGTCTCATTGATCATCCATCATGTTCCTCATTTGATTTTACACTACAGTGACTTCTAGCATTTGTTACTTCTACTCATAAGTTTAGTACCATTCTTTCCTTCACTCTTTCTCTTTGCTTCTCGCATCTCTCCATTGTTCCCTGTCCCTGCTGGCTCTTCCACTCATAAAGGCTTCCAAATCGAAGCTGGCCGGCCAGTCCCCTCTCTACCCTTACTAGGCGCCTGGATCCTCACGAGCTTCCTTTCAGCTGGCATTTCTCTCAGAACCTGGTAATTTCTCTGAAAGCTCACAGATATGTAAACTCTGCATACAAGTAGCATCAAAGCTATGAGATAATTAGCTTCCTAATTCCTACCAAAAACGCTTCCTTCAATCTCCCCCAAAATGCTTGGAGACCTTCAAAACAATAAAATATCTTAAGAGCATGTTTGATTTCTGAAGGATCATATTGCATTTAAAAAAATTGCAAAAAATACCCAAGCATGCTCCCTTGGTCTCCCTACCTTGAAACTTGGAAATGCAGAAAGGCTTTTTACCTGACAGGTTGAAGACATAGAAATACGTCAAACTGCTATGTACACTGGATATCCTAACCCTGACTGACATCTGGAATGCACCTGAATCAGCAAGACCTAATAAGACCCCCCCCTAGCTTTAGAGGTATCTTGAATAAAGCCAGCCCTGACTCCCTTCCACTGAAAATCATCTATTTTTGTACCACACACACACATTAAATGCAACTTTTATGATCTCTATCATACTATACCTTGCATATGGTTAGGTGTGCACTTATCTGTGTTTTTCCCCCCTTATGCTAGATTGTAAGCTCCTGGGGGTCTGAGTGTATCTGTTTAAATGAACCTTTTCTCTGAAGTATGTACTACGATGGCTGACATTACTGGAAGGTCAATAAATGTGGATTAAATAAGTAAATATTAACTGAAATCTTCATTCAAAAGAACTATTATTCACTTTTTAAAAG